CCCCAAAACCCCAAAACCCCAAAACCCCAAAACCCCGTTTAACTTAAATTAGTAAAATTATATTTTCGCTACATAATGGATCAAACTTCCTCACAATTTTTATCTACAGAGAGGCCCAGTGATTCATCATTCTACAAAATCATACGGCAGTTCAGGAAGACCCAGTTGAACCCAAAGGCTCATATAAGGTCGAAGTTTTACCAAAAAGAGAGGTCGCCTATGAAGACGATTCCAAAGCTACAAAATTTATTTTTCAAGAGCTCTTCACAAATTAGTCTTAAAAATGAGAAGCTTCCCTTCCTTGGAAAGATGAATAGAGGTAGTCAGTCTGAGAGGAGGCTCAAGAATATCAAGTCTATCCAGTAAGAACTTATTTTAGGGATATCCACACATTTTAAAGAAGGTTGCTAACCCTTGGTAGTAGTTCTGGCTTATTCCTACCTTCTCATAACGAGAATAAATCCAAAAATACTTTTGACTAGTTAAATTTGCTTAATTGGTTTATAGAAGAGTCAGGCCGAAGGAAATAGAGCTACATAAGGCCAATTATATGCATAAGAGAGTTCCAACCAAGGTTTTGTGATCCAAGATGAAGTCTACGCTTAAAAGGAGTAAATAAACTTGTTAACGACCAAACCGAGCCACAACGGAGGTGAGTATTTTAGGATAGAATTTTGAACAACACGCTCTGGTGTTAGATTTGATTAATTTGGCATTTGAATATCCGCTTTAGTGAAGTTTTATTCTTCAGGAACTCTTTGTGCAAAATATGCACTATTGTGTTACTCAGAACAACTTGGCTCAGTAGTTATAGCCAAAGTAAATTTAGTGCAAAGAGAGGAATCCTGATTTGATGTATAAGGATACTTTGTGTTCCAACTAATTTGCTTTGTTTGTAAAAGTATTTCTGCAGGCTAAATTATTGATATTTAGAGAAAGCACCAGTACAACAAGGTCAAAAACAAATGACAAAAATTTGAAAACTCTAATCAAGAGACTAGAAGGGCGAAGCATTCAAGAAGATGATCCTGTGGCCATGTCGATTATCCAGACTGGCTCTTTTCAGACAATGGTTGATCTCAAGACTCTTCGTAAAGAACTTGAGCAAAAATATGAACGCTTTATTGAAAAGGTAATAGTCTCAGAAATCTATGAATCTTCTAAATATTATGCAGAAATTTATTTAAGAATTTCTCGAAATCTGACACATTCTAGGTGAGAATTAAGCATAAATATTTCCCAGCTTACACTAGAAGAGGTACTAGCACTAGCAAGGTTGAGAAACAAGAGAAGACCGAAGCTTTTACAAATGTGCTAGATGGGCTCCATGAAGAAGATAGTGAAGCGTGATTCACTGAGGAGGAAGATAAGAAAGCTGACAAGGCACAAAACGAGATCGATTTTGGAAATAAGCTTAAAAGTTTTCAAATCACTCCTGATCTAAAGAAGGCTGGTCCAAGTAACCTCTCTCAGATTAGGATAATGAATCGGTATAACAATGTCAGTAGGGAAGATAAAATTGAGCTTTGAAAGAGAGGTCTGGATATCCGCTGTGTATCTAAAATTGATCATATCGATATTAACAAGAGAAGTAGAATCAACCTATCTATCAGAGATATGAAACCTCTATTCAAGATGCCTAATACCCACAGAAGCATGCATTAGGTAACCTATCATACTAGAAGAAGAATCTGATGTCATTTAGGACTTAATATTATGTAATTCTATTTCAATATATTTTATTAAAAAAGGGGTTTTGGGGTTTTGGGGTTTTGGGGTTTTGGGGTTTTGGGG